ATATATATATATATATATATATATATATATATATATATATATATATATATATATATATACACAATCATTTATCTAATTTTATCATTTTTCACATAATAAAAGTGTTTCAAGATACAACATTCCCTCTGTATCACATTTCTGTATCCCTCTTTTTCATTTTATTCAAGCATATTCTAACACTACAAGAAAAAGGTATCAATGAAAGAAATACGCACAACGGTATTTTTTATAATATTAATAGTTTATTCATATTAGTAATGATTTGTGCAAAATATATCAACATTAAATTATTATTCTCGAGTAGTAAAATTGCCTGTACATTTATTTTTGATACATGAGAATATAGTTTTAGAGAATTAGCGCGATTTTTTCTCGTCAAATGTAATAAACAGAAGTGATTAGACATCGGAAGACCGCGTCTATTTGCCTCTCTCTCTCTCTCTCTCTCTCTCTCTCTCTCTCTCTCTCTCTCTCTCTCTCACACACACACACACACACACACACGCGCGCGCGCGCGCGCGCACTCAACACACACACCCACATACATACTTTCTTTCTTCTCATTCTCGCTCTCCTTTTGACTTTTTTCTTCATTTACATCGCGTACGGGGAAATACCTTAATAAACATACAATCACGATATCATAATAACTCAGAGTTGTAGTGTGTTGTGTGTAATGTACTCCAAACTACATGAAATGCTAGATTATAATAAAATGTAGTTATACTATTTTAGCGCTGTACCGTACAGATGACAGAGCTCTGAGAGGACGAGACTTGATATAGAAATATATAGTTACCATACCGATTTGTGTGCTCACGTCGTGTAACACGTAAATATTATTTGGACACTATTCTCACCAAATTTTCTAAAAGTTAACGGGAACCCGGCCGAATAAATCGAACTCGTGCCACATGTATTATATTAGCATCGCAAATCAGTATTTTATAAATCGGCTAACGAGTCTGGTTAGTTCGCCATCCAGTGTGGTTTGATTGAGCTTCTTCCAAATTATTTCCCTTTTCTTTTTTACTAAAAGAAACATACACGCCGATCGCATAGTCGATAAACATTGGCAACAGCACATCGGTATTCGTGATCGACGATTAAATCAGCCGTAAAGTAACGAGAAACGTTACGCTTAATTGGTGAATTGTTATATACATCGTGTAGCACGATACGTCTACACAATTCTCGCGCCTGGTTGGTCAATAACACTTCCTAATTGTTAATAATTTACGCCGTGTAAACTTTCGATACACTCGGACTCCGTCGCATTGTGTTCAAGAGCGTTATCATCTCTAAAAAGTCTTGAATAATTTCCATGTTAGAGTCTCGGAGGCCAAATGCAGAAGGTAAAATCTGGAGCTTTCTTTGTACTGTATTTATACATATATCTGTATATACACGTGTGATTGCGAATCTGTACAGATGTGTATAGGTACATTACAAGTATATATACACACACAGATGTACGCGCATTTCGTCATATATATTGTGACAAGAAATGCCAAGTGTAACATAATTGGTGAGACAAGATGAGGAAAACAAAAAACAAGTTGACGAGTTTTAAGGCGTAATCGAGAGCAAAGTATTCATATACATAAAGACGCAAAATGTCCAGTTTTCTTTTTTTGCATAATAAATCTTCGGTCGCTTAAACATATCGACTTAATTAATGTAAATTAAATTTCGATGGCAAATGATACAAATTCGAAGTTGGATTGCTTCCGAAAAATTACTACTGAAAAACAAGTTGAAGTGTTACCGATAAAGTGTAATACGCGACACGTATTACAAACACGCGATACGTGTGTTTGTACAACAGAGAATAAAACTTCATCATAGCGTAATACGAGATATAGTATATAGTAAAATATGGACGCGCACGGTCATTGACCAATTATGTTCTAAAAGAAGTGCCAAATTTTCTCAAAACGTCGTGGCAACCGAGCTTCGTCCGTATCGATCGTTTTATTTCTTAACCCTAAGCGTCTTGTCAAAAGTGTTTCGCTGACTATATAAACGATAATTACAGAGATAATACAAAGATTAACGTACGAGTAAGATTAAACGCACGGGTCTGTCAACAGATCAGACTGCAAACGTTCTACTCGGTAACGATTGTACTGCCGATAAGGAGAACGCGTCTGATCGTTGTCCGTTATCACTCGTGTCCTATGGGGAATTAAGTTTTCATAACGTCCCATCAACCAATCTTGACACATTCGATGCTGGATATCGGCGACATTCTTGGATGCCCATGATGAGAGCCAATGATGAAACTTGGCGTTGAGACGCTTTGTTACGGTTGGATGGCACTATTAACACAAGTTATAAGAATGTTGTAACGTTACAGCTAATGTTCAAGTTTGTGACTCGTTAGTTAATGTACCTCTCTTGCACGACTGAACGAGTTCCGTTTGTAGAGAAACGCTTCTTTGCTGGCAACATAAAGCATGTGATAGCTATTGGGATTAAATCTACATTGCGTCTCGTCGGAATTGATAATGTCCGGAGCATCAGTCGCATCTGCCAATCTTAAAGAAGCAGGCCTCTTCAAAAGCGCCATATTGTCTAGTGATTTCTCTTTATCAGTCGATCTATCACAATAAATTGGTGATAGGAGTTAGTTAAGTTTGTGCATTTTATATGCATGTCGAGTGTATTTGTATTATACTTACTCTAATATTTTCTCCGCCTGATTAGTATTAGATAGAGATGTTCTCGTTAATCTCGCTGCTCTCTTTCGCCACTGCCTAATATTACGAAACAAAAAGACGGGTTTGCGTCCTGCTGAGATTCTGCCTAAACAGCTCCAGCCATTTCCGTCAATCTATAAAAATCACGATACATTTTTATGTTATTTCCAGATAATATTTTATATGATGTGTGTGTTTGTGTGTGTACGCGCGTATGTGTGCAACACGTATAATAAAATCACAAAGTTTTCCATTATTTTTACAAAAGTCTACACAGTACATAGCGGAGAAATTCAAAAAATTTGTTATCATCATTATATAAAATACGCGCACAAAATACACAATGCGGTGAATTTTTCTGTTATTCTAACACATATATACGCATCGTTATATCGATTATATACGTGTACTTTATGGGTCCGTATTATGTCAACCAACACGCGATTGAAAATATATGTACAAAATTTTCAAAAAGAGAGAGAGATTCTCTTGAAAGTTCTTCAATACATATGTTTACGATCGATACATGTAAAATCAGGAAGTGAAAAAAAAACATGAATACAATATTACATCATTGATATGTATTACTACAATTAGTTGTGATAGAAAAGAGATATATTACTTTTGTTTCATGATAAGTAAAAGATAAACGAATGGAAAGTTGAATCGTGTTGAACAAATTTGCTATAATTTGTAATGGGATATGTATGTGCGAGAGAGAGAGAGAGAGAGAGAGAGAGAGAGAGAGAGAGAGAGA